TGATCCCTTTTTGGTTAGACTTGCAACACCTGCCTACACCTGCTATACCAGCACCTCACCTCTCTTGCTGTGGGCGGCGGTGGGCACATGATTTGCCACAGATGACAGCTGTGGAGCAGCGGATTTGGCCAAAGATTTTGCCAATGAGCTGGTCGCATCTGGCTACCAGGAGCGCTTTGCAGAACTCAGTTTCCCTTCGAAGATGATCGAAGCATTTGCGATTCTTCAACAGCTTTTGAGTTTTCCTTTTCTTTAAATTGGCACATGTCTCTACCGACTGTGACACAGATTGCCGGTGCCCTTGCAAAGATGTGTACCAAGCTGTTGCAAGCTGCTCATTGGCACCAGCGTTGCAAACAAGATCGCCTTCAATCACATATTTGCATAGAAGGAGAGATGTACCATGACAACTGGTGAGAGAGAGTGTTTGGCAAGCATAGACTTATCTAGTAAAGCTTGACAGGATGACTATCCACCAGAATTGGTGCGTGACGGCGTGCGCCTTGTGATACACTAATGCCTTCCGTGCTGTGGTGGTGTAGCACAGCACAGCCCACTGCAGCCCCAAACTAGCTCAGGTAATTTTAGCACGAGCTGGGCAGATTCTTGCTTTGCATGCAATGGAGGTGGGGAGTCCTTCTTTGAAACAGAATTGTATGTGGCACTCAAGCCATTCTCGCTTTGTATCATGAGGGTCAAGGTTGAGTGCGTCCAGAGGATAAGGTCTGGGAGGTTTTCCAAATACTTATGTTTGCCAACTGTTGTTTCTGTCTTGGGAAGAGGAGAGCTTCATTCAGGCTAAAAGCATCCACAACTTTCGGCCACAGGCTCATCGTGGCTTGCCATGTCTTTCAGCCTGGCGCGAGGGCTGCAGTGTGTGCGCCTATACCAGGCGCATCAAGTTTTAACTGCAAACAATTTTGTCAATGTAACTGTCATATTGGTGTATGGAAACATGAATATATTTGCACTAATGTTCATGAAAATATATGGGTCTTACTCATGAAGCACCGATAACTAATTCGTTAGAAACCTGAACATATACGGCAAGAATGTGAATGGCCCAACCTGGAACTACTTCTAAGTCATCTCGTTATGAAGAAATGTAGGTTTTATGACTGAGACCGTAAGGATTGCCTGGACATGCATGGACAAACTTCCACACCAATAGGAAATCCAGGATTTGCAAGTTACGACCTGGAGAGTTTGGGGTGCTTTTTCGTGTTGCAGGCAGAGAGTTTCAACTTTCTTTCTTCCATTGTTTCTCTCGAAAGTCTGGACCTCAGGTGTGGATCATTGCGGAGCAGTGTTTAAAGAGGGTTTGAAGCCATTCCAATTGGCCATTCCGGTGCTGAAGCCATTCTCACACGTTCAAGTCTCACTATGCGGTCCAGGTTGGAATGGAAGTGCATGGATCACCGAGTCCACTTACGCGGAGTTGCAGGGCGGTGCTCGGGAAGCCCAGGGACTTGGACTGAGGCAACCTATGGCAACTGACATCAACGGACTGAGGACGCTACGAACGGGGCTCCTGGCCTTTCTGCTAGGAGCAAGGACACTAGGGGCTCCTATGCCAAGCAAAAAGGAATTTTTTGAATGTCCATACGTTGTGAGGCCATCGCTCATACTGTCCATACGTTCCATGTATCACCTCCTCACAATCATTTTTGCTGCTTTTCTTTGGCTTTTTGTCCATCTCGTTTGGGGAGTCCGGTGCTATCGTATTTGGCCGATTCATTTTGGGTCCGATGTTCGGTTCAATTGTCGTGTGACTCCGTTTCACCAAAAGGACTGGAAGCAACATGCCTAAGGCATGGGGGCGTTACAACCGACGTTTGGGTGCCTCAGCGTCCGCACAGGCCATGCGCACTTCATAATCATGTTCCGTGCCAGATCGATTGATGACCTGCAATCATATGATTTCATATTATGTTCTTGGCACCAATCAAGCCAAGAAACTCTATGCAATTGCAGTTTCCCGCGACACTGCCGACCACTTGTGCCGCAACGGACTCGGAGGATAAGCATGTGGCACTACTCTGCAGTCCTGCCAAGGTTGGGCGAACCCTACCAGCGGAGACCGCTGGCGTTTCGTTTTAGCTTTCCGGCTGGACAGGAGGGTGGGCTACCCTGGAAATGTTTAAACTTGGTCCCGGCACAAAGTGGGGCATTCAGAAAAATAACGTAACTTTGGCAGCAGAACAAGAGGTCAGCTACAAACGGAATACTTCCAGATTGCAACTCAAGGGGTCAAGGCGCTCTTTGACCTGCTTCACTTTCGGCCAAGCTGGACAACATGGGTGAAGGGGTGAAACAGCATCAGCAATAAAGCAAGTGATAAGACGAGTTTGTTTGGAAGTGAGGAAAGCACACTTAGTTTTCCAAGCGCCTCACAGAAGCAGACCTTTATACTATACATACTATACTATAATGCACTATACTGTACTGGTATAATCTGGTATATGAAGGAGCTATAAGGAGCTCAATTGCATGTAAAAGAAGGAGTCAACTACCGGTAAATGAAGAATCCACTTGCCCGCAATGAAGGAACCTAATTCTTGTAGATGAAGACCTTTGAGCATAATTAGTTGCCAGGGATGCTCCTCATTGTTGTGATGAGGTCACCGCAAGTCCGTTGGCAATTGCTGATTTGAGGCCAGAGCTTTCAGGGCTTTCGACGCAGACGAACACGCTTGTGCACGGTTTGCTTTGATTTGCTTGAGAATTAGAACAGGCTTGGCTCCGTTCGTAGCGATATACTTCTCTCAGGAACCGTTGACTGTTCGGACTCAGGTTCTTCTCTGACTTGGCCTGCAGCAACACTCTCACAGGAATCCCAATCGCCAGTGCGACTTCGAGAGGCGATCGCCGGACGGACACCATTCAAACATGCGATTGGGGGTGGTGCAAATACCATTTGTATCCTAACAGATCCTAACAGATCCTAGCTTAGTGCAACTGGAAAGCAAGCAAAGTTCATTTTCATGCCTGAAGCCAGGCATCAGCAATCGCTGGCTCAAATCCATTTGCAAGAAACTCTGAGCCTTGACCAGGGCCGCCAGGGCCACCACCTAACGACAAAGCACTCAAGCTCCGCAGGCGCAGCCTTGGATGCAATTGACACAGATGCCGTGGGCCTAGAGAGGTGAAGGGTCGGACGTGCACCGCAAGGCATCGAGCGCAGGTGTAACCAGAAGTCAGACCGTCTTCATGAAGACTGCATCAGTGGTTTCAAAGATGCAATGAGTGAACTGCCCTGCTGCCCTTCCGAGTCCATGCAAAGGTCACAAGCAGCTGGGTTGCTGCCTGTGACCCCTGTGAACCTGGACAGGCCCTGTGTGTGGCAGTGAGTTCCTGATAGAGGGTCCATCTCTCTCTCTCTCTATGTCCCTAAAGCTTGTTGCAGAATGTCTTAAAGCGTGCTGCAGAATGCCCAACCTGACCCAACAATAGTACTACAGGTCAAGCAATGGAAAACTCATATTTGCGTTGCACTTGTTGCACATGCAGCTGCAAGGGAGCTAGTGATTTGTCGACCGTGGCCTTGTTTCTTGTGCCTGTGCTACTCGTGCCTCACCAGACTTCGCCAGTCATCTCTGTCCCCAAGACGCCTTTGACAGATTGGCTTCTTGTTACTAGCAGTGGCCTCCACCTAGTAGCTTCAAGCTACTAGCATCATACTGAATAACACTGAATAATTCCTAGTAGCGTCCTTGTTACTAGTAGCGATGGCCTTCAACCAAATCGCGATGGCCTCCCCCTAGTAGCGTCCTATGTATGAAAGTGCTGTTTTTCATTCATCAACTGGTGTGTCCCACCTTGATGCTAAGGCCATTTTCGCATGCCTCCACGAGTGTAGGTATTATGATGCGAATCGATGCAAATATGTCACAATTGTTGCAGGCCTGGCTTGGCATGCATTTGGACAACAATACAGAAGTTCTTTGTCCGGGTGCTCATGATGCTCTGTTTTGATGGTACGTGCTTGGTACATGGAACAATCGACATGCCAGATGCGGAGAGCTGGCAACAGGTGGGAATGTGGCATTTGCAAAGCCCAATCATTTTGTGGTTTGCCACCCTACTCTGCAACCACTTCAAGTGCCGAGTAATTTGGGTCAGACTTGAAGCCTGCATGGCTCAGAATGGAACCCCGCGTAGCATAATAGCATAACCTTCAGCCCAAGAAGTCAAAACCGCTCGCTTAGGTGCTAGCATTCTCCTTGCATCAGCTGCTGCACGGCAGTTGCAGACACCCTTTACCACAGGTTCCGGCCACCTGCCCTGATGCGTGGGGATTTTGGGAAGGAAGCCAGGCTTTTGAATGGAGACTGCAGATGATTTCAGACCTGTATGATCCATCTTGCATGTGGGCTGGTGCGTTTCGGTGGCGTTTGGAGGTGCCCGGAGGGGGCGACCGACCTCGCAGGTGGCATCCCAGCCAGTGGAGCGCTTTTGCAGCTGAACTTGGAACTGTGGAACTCCACTGGCTGGGCCAGGACCTCAGACGACATGTTCGGGCGATCTGATGAACAGGCTGCCGGTCCAATTGCACAAAGTCATTGGCATAGATTTCTATAAGTTTCAAGTGTCACATTGAGTCACACTGATCATCACATGTGTGTTTCTTGAAGGTGTTTTGGTTGGCTGGCTGAATGTTTGATGCTGAATGTGTGCTCAATGTTGAATTTTCCAGCCATCCTTCCTTCGCATAGCTGCTTCTGCACACGAGAGCGCTTACCTAGGCTGCAGTGGGGGCAGTTCATTTGCGTGCGGGGGCACGTGTATTCCTGTCAGAAGCCCGGCTTCGCAGAAGGAATTTTAATCCTGCACGTTGATTTGTTAGGATGTAGGCAAAGGCCTCCAACCTAGTATGAGAAACACAATCCAAACGATGAGAAACACAATCCGCCCTCGCAAACCATGAACCCCAGGTCTAGGTTCCACGCGCTTGGCCCAAGCCGTGCGTGTGGAGCTGAGCGGAGCTGAGCTCCCGTGCAATTGACATCATGAGGAGCTAGTAAGTAACTAGTAGCGATGGCCTCCGGCCTAGTAGTATTAGCTCATTTTAGCTCCATAAGTGACCTCATGGGGTTTCCACTCTTCTCTTCCTTCAGATTGAATATGTGAACGTACCAGTGCAAAGCTTACGTATTGTGACAACGATTCCGATTGATTCAAGTCGATGAAGTGGGCCTTGCATCTCCGGTCTCAAGCCTCAGAGAGTCACTCTGGAGCCACACCTCAGAGTGTCACTATGGCACGGCCTTTGCGCCTTCGCATCCTTTGGGTGGTGAGCTTGGGCATCATCTTGCTGCAAGCTGGACGAGGACGTTTTGGTCTTAAGTGGATGGACAGATTCAATCCAAGGTGTGTGGGAGCCCAGCAGAGGGATCAGTCCAGCAGCATTGCTCAAATCAGGAGAACACACATAGCTGAAACCAGGAAGCCCTGTGCAGGATTCATCCACGGCTGCTCTTCCTGCTCTAAGTCAACTTCACCTCGTACGCAGCAGAGCGCTGTCAAAGAGGACGTGCAACAATGACAAGATTCAGACATTTGCTTGGCAAGCATGCAATGCTGTACTTCAACCTGATCCCCCACTATTGCTTTATCATGTGTTAGCAGCATTTGCATGACGTGCATATAAAACTGAGCTTTGATGTGATTTCTTTTGAAACATGATTACGCTGCAGGAAGTGGAGACGACTGCAGAGACTGGAATAGGAACAGATCCGACCGGTGTGGTGTCTGTGCCGACCGGCGGAGTGGACAAGTCCCAACTGCTTCGTGAGATCACCAGCAACACTCCCGGGCTCACCCGCTCAACATCCCCACGCAGCGAAGGAGGTGGTGTTCGTCTCCTTTTTGCTCCAGAGCCCCATGAATCAGTGACATTTGCTTTGTGGTTTGGGCCATTGCCCTGCTTTCAGGCCGAAGAGCGTTCTTTCCCCCCCCCAAGAGTGTTTACACGAACCACATCGAACCACTTTGTTTGGTGGTTGGTTAAGCGTGTTGACACAGCAGGGCGTGAAATGCTTTCTACTTGAGGGCAGGGCTCGGACATTCTTACCAATGATATGATACGATATATGGTTGTATATATACTATAGTTCACCGGCAGTTAGAATAAGGTTTTTTTCTTTAAATGCAGATAGAATATATCAAGTTGAGATACAATTTAAATCCGGGGGGGCCTATGCAGATAGAATATGGAGGTACGTGAAAAGCAAGACAACAAAAGCACAGCTTGAAGCACCTCGAGAACAACTGCAAAGCGTGCAAAGGTCTGTTTCTTTTCCCTGCTCTCTCTGTCTGTGTCTGTACTGTGCGTATTGAACATGCTCATGCATCTATTGAAACTTGTGACATTCATAAGGAAACACTGCAGACTGAGCATGGGGCGCCTCCTGTATTGTATGTTTCTTTGAGATGACAAGTGATGGTCGTATATGCAAAAGGAATCTGTAGAACACCTACTACCGGGACGCTGCCGTCCTAAATTTAAATACCAAAAACGATTTAAATCATATTCTATCTTCTGGTGAGTTATTGTATATATATATATACGTATTTTATTCGATTTGTAGGTAGCTTGGACTTGCCAGAACGATGCAGGTTGGTACCTTCCGGTATTGCTTCTGCCTGTCACAAACCATGGTCCTCACTGGCTTTCTGCTGGCGCTTGCAGTCGTTGTCATGGGACCCGAGATCCTGATGCCCCCTCGCTATGGATGAGACATGGAGCAGAAGTGGTGAATGCGCTGAGCTGGATCATGCTGGATCCTTCGAGTGCTGAAGGCATCAAGTTGCCTTCAGGTGAAGTCGTCGATCTGCAGGGAAAAGCCTTCAAAGACAGATTTTCTGCGGCTTGCACTGCCAAATGGCATCGGTCGATTTTCTGCAGCGGTTTGCACCAAAAAGCTGAGGGCAGACAGCAAGAGCAAGGGCGGTCCAAGAAGCAAGCAAACTTCATCACCTAATTGGAAATCTACGCTAGTAGAAACAAGTGCATCGCTACTAGTAACAAGTGCCTTACTAC